CCATGCTGGCTGGGGAATTCTGGGAGTTGAAGTCCACCCATCTTAAAGTTGCCAAGGTTGAGAAACACTGTTGTAGAGGATTGAATTAGGTGACTTCTGCGGTCCCTTCCAACTTCACGGTTCTAGGATTTGGGGAATATACCTTCATGACGAAGCCCATGTTCACACCTAGACCCCTAACCTGGTTTGTGGAAAACCTAGTGCCTGCATTTGCCCCACATTTTTTTCCAGTTCTTCCATTTGTGGCTCTGTGTGTTAAGTGAATCCTGCTGTTGCACCAGTGGATGGTTCAGAGGACGGGGCAGACTCAGGACGGGCGAAATGCAGAAACCGCTTCTGGGTGCTGTGGCAGCCCGGCGGGGGTCTAACCGGGAGCTACAGATCCATTCCTTGTAGAGACCCCATGGGGGGGGGGTGTCAGCTTTTCTGCTGTGAGTGATGGTGGATGATGGGAGCTGTATGGCAAGCCATCAACCTCGTGAGTGCCATCCTCTGCTGGTCTGGGATGAAGAGGGTCTTCCTTCCGAAAAGGCGTCCCTCCCTCTCGCCCTGGTGCTGAAGGAGGCGGCGGGGGTGCCCTGCTGACACATGCGCTCCCCCCTCGTCCTGTGCTTCCTCCCCTCTCTGCCTCCAGAAATCCCCATCTTCCACATCCTCAACGCCCGCATCACCTTTGGGAACCTCAACGGCTGCGAGGAGCCGGTGGTCTCTCTCCGTGGCACGGGCAGCCCCAGCAGCGATGCCCCCTCGCCAGGGAGTGACCGTTCCAGCATCAGCAGTTCCAGCTCCCTTGGTAAGGCGAAGAGGGGGGAAGGGGCAAATGGGGCGGGGTGATGTAGGGGGCCCTGCAAAGCCCGAGGGGGGCTGCTCGGAGGTGGGCTCGGAAAGTCAAGATGGCGTCACCAGCGTGCAATTAAATGCCTGCTGTTTTTTTGCACGGGCTGCACAAATGTGAAAAAGGGGGGTGATATCTAGGTTGAGGCCAGCAACTTGGGTTTTTTGGCCCCCCCCCCCATTCCTCTGGGTTCCCCAGCCGGGGGGAGCCACCCTGGAAAAGGTGCTGGGACATTTCTTTATCGTTCCCTTGCGACAACTACGCAGACCAGGCACAGCCCCCTCCCCAAAATGTGCCCCTTAGCAGGCTACCCAAGTGCCGTTCCTGAGATAAGCTCAAGATATTTTTTTTTAGATTTTTTTTATCCTGCCTTTATTATTTTTATAAATAATTCAAGGTGGCGAACATACTTAAATACTCCTGCCTCCTATTTTCCCCAGAACAACATTTTTATCTTCTTTCTAACATCCATTTTCCATGAAAAAAATTTTTTAAATATATTTATTAAGGTTGTTAGAGGCCTTGAGAATTCTGTGAGTAGAAAGAGGAAATCCCTGGGAGTTGAGAGCGATCGGAGGGAGATTTCAATTAAAAGGAAAATCTCCCCCAAATCCTTCTCGGCTCCTTGGGAGTTCAAAAATCCTTGGCAAGAGTTTGGAAGAGCTTCGCCTGGGGATGCTCCCAACTCAACTTCCCAGCCTGTCCTACCCCTTGGGGCTCTCCTGGTGGCCTCCCATCCAAGGTCAAATCCAACGCTGCTAAGCTTTTTTTCAATTTTGCTTGTTTATACATACAGGCATGCATGAAATTTAGAGGCCAGTTCTGGGCGGCTTACAATGAAAAAGTAAAAAAAAATATAACAGACAAAAAAATCACCAGTGGCGCAAAGACAAACATCGAAATCAAGGACCCATCCAGCAAGGGGTCGACCACCACCCTGCCCCAAAGTCTGGGAGAAGAGCCGGGCCTTGAATAGCTTCCCGAACATCTCCAGGGTCTCCCACCGGGGGGGTGGGAGTGGCCGAGATTCAGTAAATGCTGCCCCCGGAACTTGGTTTGGCCATGCCCGGCTCTTTAAGCCTCAGCTAATGCCCTCTAGGTGAAATCCTGTAGGTTTTGACTGCTGTCTGCAAAGAAACAAGGGGACCCGGGAGCTATGCGTGCCTCGCCCCCCCGCCCCCCGAGGCAGGGAAACCCGGTGCCCGGTCATTTTGGGGGAGGAGGGGGCTGGAGGGTCGCATCCCTCGGATGGTGGTTGGACCTGTCCCTGCAGGCTCCTGCCGCTGCTTCGAGATGGCCCCCTCCCGCTTTGAGGCCCCCCAGGGCTACAGCGTCGTCGGGAGGCACCCGGAGCCGCTGCGGGAAGACGAGGATGACCTCCTGCAGTTCGCCATCCAGCAGAGCTTGCTAGAGGCGGGGAGCGAATATGACCAGGTAGGGGAGACCCGACCTCGTGGGGGGGGGTGGGGGGG